TCATTTGTACTTCTAGTTCAATTTACGTATTGCTAGGTGGTAGTAGGGACCGGTGTCGAGGATGAACAGAACTTCTTACCAAATTGCAGATGAGGTCGTGGTGATGGTCAGTAGAGTCAAAAGGGTCAGTGTGTTGAGCCTTCTTGATACATGGATAAGAAGGGAGAGAATAATCTTCCATGCCTCTTTGCACTTCTATAGAGTGTTTACGTTGTGTGGCATTTAGGGAGAGGACAGGGGTGGAGGAGGCATAGAATGGAAGCTTAGGAAGTATGAATGTGAGTGAAACACTGAGGGCTCAGGTGCAGGAACTCCGAGGGACGTGAGTCGGCGGAGGAGGTGGAGACAGAGCTGGAGGACTTGAACTTCACTGACGTGTGGTTTCCAATTTAGTTTGTTGTCTATGGTGACGCCGAGGAGCTTAGTGGATTCTACAACCTGGAGTATGTTGGGACCTAAAGTAGTTGTAGTAGTAGTAAAGGATTATTATTATTATTATTATTATTATTATTATTATCTATCATTACTGTTGTTGTGGGAGAAATAATTAAGTAAACAAGCAGAAATAATCAAAAATAAACAAACAACTGGGAAATAATCAAGTGAACAAGTAGAGGGAAGGTGATCCCAATCAACACCTGGATTTCCAACTATTACCAAGTGATCGTCACGGAAATTCTAATAACATACCCACGAGGCTGTAGTAAGAGGTGCTAATATTAAGCTGGCTACTGAGCTGGTGACGCTAACAGCATCCAGGGTCGATTCATTCATTCACTACACCATTATTGCAAAGCTACAGTCCCTACCGATTCAGGTGTGTTTAGAAATTAACAGACAAGATCCTACACCCACAGCTACCCACACCCACCAACCCACAGCCACCACACACCCCAACAACCCTACACCCCACCCACCACTTCGTCACTATATAAAGGCACTTAAATCAACCTCCAGAGAACTAGACTACAAGTGAGATTCAAACTTAAAAATAAATAATAATAAACAAACATAAATAAATGAATAAACAAATAAATACATAAATAAATAAATACCAACAATGTCGATGCCTCAAGAAACAATTATTAAAAAAAAAAATATATATATATATATATATATCTATAATTGACTTTACATTGATAGATATAAGAAAATAAATGGGATTCCCCAGAGTCCGATACTGGGCCCTCTTGTTCATAGTCTACATAAACGATCTAGATACGGGATCCCAGCATTGACATATGCAAGTTGCGGATGACACCAAAATAGGGCGGCAGATTAATTCAGGGCAGGATGCAAATGCACTACAGGAGGATTTACATAAACTGCAGGAGTGGTCAGAAAAATGGCAAATGAAATTCAACACCAGCAAGTGCAGCGTACTTAATAATGGAAGAACAAATACTGTCAATGTATACAGCCTTAACAACATCAACCTGGAAGTCGACATGAAAAAGAGACTTGGGGTATATAGCCCGGACCTACGGCCTGAAAACAGTGCTATAATGTTTCAGAAATAAGGCAAACAGAGTATTAGGTTTTATATCTAGAAGTGTAAGTGATAAAGTGCAGAGGTCTTATTGCAGCTACATCTTGCCTAGTCAGGCCGCACCTCGATTATGCTGTTCCAGTTCTGGTGCCCTATTATAGATGGATATACATTCACTAGTCAGTGCAGCGAAGAATGGCGAAAATGATTCGGGACAAAACCTTCCATATCAAGATAGGTTAAAAGAAACTAAACTTGCAATTCCTAGAAAGACGAAGAGTGCGGGAGATATGATAGAAGTATTTAAGTGGGTGAGGAATCAATAAAGGCGATATAGATAAAGTTCTTATAAGTATCCGAGCAGGATGGGACTCAGAACAACGGATTTAAGTTGGATAAGTTTAGGTTTAGGAGGGAGATGGGAGGAACTGGTTCACAAATAGAGTGGTGGACCAGTGGAACAAGCTTCAACAACTTTGTAGTAAGTCGGAACGCTGGAAAGTTTTAAAAGGAGGCTAGATAGATTCATGGATGATCGAGAGTGGTAGTAACTCTCGACAGGAGCTGCTATGCACAGGCCAACTGGCCTATTGCAGACTCTTATTTTCTTATGTTTTTCTACAGAATTAATAAAGCTGAACAGAAATATTAAAATAAACTCAGAGAAATAAATTGAATAATTAATTTAAATAGATTAAATATAAAGGGAACATATCAGAAACGAACGACAGTAGATGTTATTTAGAAGACATGCAAAAAGGTATTCAATATAGATCAAAAGGAATGTATATATAAACCTTAACTACATAATGTATATGGCCGTAGATGGTTATTATATATACTAACGAGGTATATATAAACCTTAACTACATAATGTATATGGCCGTTATGATATATACTTAAGGGAGAGACTACGACCCTGTGCTAGGTATTGGCTACGGCGGAAAGTGATTGCCAACATTCGTCTATTACTCCGTCAGGCAGGTAAATCACTGCATGAAGGCAACTTAAAATGCCATTACTATCACCATATATTACCGACAGAAGGCGGGCGAATAAGGTCGTCATTACGGTAACGCCAAGCGATGTTTAGTGTTCGTGCCGGTGTTGGTTTTATTATAGTAAGGGTTTATAACATTCCAAGAGAGAGAATATTTAGTTGAGTATGTTATGGTCAGGGGAGGGGTGGGGGAGGGGAGGGGTGGGGAGGGGTGGGGGGAGGAGGGGGAAACTTAGCATAGATAGGTAACTTACTGCAGGGACAGGAATTGTTGTTGTGATTGTTGGCGTTTACGTCATTTTTGAGGGGGCACCCGCTACAGCCTGTGTAAGGTGAAGCGTTTACAGCGCCCAACAGGAAGCATGCTAAGTTCACGCTTGCCTTTTGTCTCATGAGTTAAGGGCGTAGAAGCCTGAAGAGTCAGTGGTTTATGTCTTAGCAAGTTATTGGAAGCTCCAACAACTTGTCCCTGAATACGAATTCGCAGCTTTCGATTTACAGCTGGTACCTACTGTGCTGTTAGGTGAACAGGGCCAAGGGGACTAGGAAGAGTGTCCAAACAACTTCCGCTGCCCGGAATCGAACCCACGACATCTAGCTTGCCGAGGCAAGAGCGGTACGGCTCCCCACCGGCGCCCCGTTTACATCGTTGTTGTCGTCGTTGTTGTTTTTAGACCAAAATGGTCAGTATATATTCGGCCATAAAGAACCCACCTGACCTTCAACCCCGACCCAACATCACCGGAAGGTAGGTTAAAAAAGAGCAATTTGTAAATTAACCGGCTTCGTCTGGTCTTTGGTGTGGTAACTGTCCGGGGGTTCAACAGATGGTGTAACTGTCCGGGTTCAACAGATGGTGTAACTGTCCGGGGTTCAACAGATGGTGTAACTGTCCGGGGTTCAACAGATGGTGTAACTGTCCGGGGTTCAACAGATGGTAACTGTCCGGGGTTCAACAGATGGTGTAACTATCCGGGGTTCAACAGATGGTAACTGTCCGGGGTTCAAATATGTAACTGTTCGGGGGTTCAACAGATGGTATAACTGTCCGGGGGTTCAACAGATGGTGTAACTGTCCGGGGTTCAACAGATGGTGTAACTGTCCAGGGTTCAACAGATGGTGTAACTGTCCGGGGTTCAACAGATGGTAACTGTCCGGGGGTTCAACAGATGGTGTAACCGTCCGCAACAGATGGTAACTGTCCGGGGTTCAACAGATGGTGTAACTGTCCGGGGTTCAACAGATGGTGTAACTGTCCGGGGGTTCAACAGATGGTGTAACTGTCCGGGGTTCAACAGATGGTGTAACTGTCCGGGGTTCAACAGATGGTGTAACTGTCCGGGGTTCAACAGATGGTGTAATCTGTCCGGGGTTCAACAGATGGTATAACTGTCCGGGGGTTCAACAGAGGTGTAACTGTCCGGGGGTTCAACAGATGGTGTAAAACCGTCCGGGGTTCAACATGGTGTAACTGTCCGGGGGTTCAACAGATGGTGTAACCGTCCGGGGTTCAACAGATGGTAAATCCGTCCGGGGTTCAACATGGTAACTGTCCGGGGGTTCAACAGATGGTGTAACTATCCGGGGTTCAACAGATGGTGTAACTATCCGGGGTTCAACAGATGGTGTAACTGTCCGGGGGTTCAACAGATGGTATAACTGTCCGGGGTTCAACAGATGGTGTAACTGTCCGGGGTTCAACAGATGGTGTAACTGTCCGGGGTTTCAACAGATGGTGTAACTGTCCGGGGGTTCAACAGATGGTGTAACTGTCCGGGGGTTCAACATGGTGTAACTGTCCGGGGTTCAACAGATGGTGTAACTGTCCGGGGTTCAACAGATGGTAACTGTCCGGGGGTTCAACAGATGGTGTAACTGTCCGGGGTTCAACAGATGGTGTAACTGTCCGGGGTTCAACAGATGGTGTAACTGTCCGGGGGTTCAACAGATGGTGTAACTGTCCGGGGTTCAACAGATGGTGTAACTGTCCGGGGTTCAACAGATGGTGTAACTGTCCGGGGGTTCAACAGATGTAACTGTCCGGGGTTCCATCAAAGAGGTTTATTCAAAATACTTGAGGGTTTAGTCCGCTGGGGGTTGAAGCAGCATGGTGAGGGAGGGCAAGTGAGACAGGTGAGGGTGTGGTGAGGTGTGTGGGTGTGGTGAGACAAGGTGAGTTGTAGGTGTTGTGGGGGACGGGGGGGGATGGGAGTGAGGGTGGGGGATAGTGTGTGTGGTGTAGTGTGTTGTGACGTGTGGTGGGAGTGAGGAGAACAGTGTTTAGGCTGGTGTGGTGTGTGGTGTGAGTATGGATGGCGTAGTGTGTGGGTGGAGTATGGTGAGGGTATGGTGACGTAAGGGGATGTGATACACTGGTTAATAATACAGTGGTGGTGACATTTCCTCGAGGTGACGCCCACCAGCCTCTCCTGGCGTCTGATACTTGTGATGGTGGTAGCAGGTGGTGGTGGGGGGTGATGGCAGTGTGGTGTTAAGTGGTGACAACGTTTATTGTATTGGCAGGTGGTGGTGGTGGTGATGTGGTGACGGTGCACGTGGTGGTGATGGTGCATGATGGGATGGCACGGTGGTGGTCATGGTGGGTCATGGTGGTGATAGATAATGATGATGATGGTGGTGACAGATAATGATGATGTTGGTGATGACATGATGAATGATGATGGTGATGACATGATGAATGATGATGGCGATGACAGATGATGATGGATGATGGTGATGGTAGGTCATGGTGAGAGAGGGAGGGTAGACGGCTGTGGTCACTGCGGCAGGTGACCGCAAGCTCTGAGGGACCCCCGGCTCACGTGATGTCCTGAGGCACACAGAGCCGCCCTCCCTCCTACAGTAGTGTTGCAGCTGCCTCCTCCACAGTAGTGTTGCAGCTGCCTCCCTCCTCCTACAGTAGTGCTGCAGCTGCTTCTAAAATACTGTTACCCTGCTGCTGATGATGATGTAGATAATATTAAATGATACGTGATGTTACTGAGCCAAGTGTTTATCCCAGGTGATAGTGATGACAATCGATGAACGTGACATTACTGATGCCAGTGGCTGTCCATACTAACTGACACAAGACTTGTGCAGCGAGCGTCCAGAGAGGCGTCGTCACAGTGAGGTTATGGGACCTCGGGGTGAGAGTTGACACCACTCGGGGACCTCTGCACCACGACCTCCACCGAACACCTGAGAAACCCACGACCATGGAGGTATTCACCTCCACGCCCACCACATCTACCTTCACGACGGTGGTGGCGAGAAGCTTATTTTTGTACGAGTCCTAGAGGCTGACTGTCGAGTATTTTGTTGTTGTTATTATTATTATTATTATTATTATTATTATTATTATTATTATTTTGTTGTTATTAGTTTTATTATTATTATTATTTTGCGTTAGGTTAGGTTTGCGTTACGTTACGTAAAGTTAGCGTTGATTGTTAGCTTCTCACCTCATGTCCAGAGAAAGTTCTAGGTGGTTAATTTTTCGGTAGATTGCTGGGTAGAAATTTTGGGTGATCCCATTAATGAGTCAATCATTCTGAATGTAAAATATTTGCGTTAAAAACAACTTCACCCCGGGTCTGCTGCGTGGTGACTGGCCCTGAAGGAACGAGCGACACTAATTGGTGCCTAACGAGCTACAATGTCTTATCTTATTTGTTACCGAGTCTTAATCGTATTTGAAAGAGACATTTTTCCTCCGTTACACATGGGTAAAGTCTGCAACAGGTTAGGTTCGTTACCTGGATCACTTAAATAATATCCACCCCAGTTTGTCACATGAGATAACCCAATCAAACCTAACCCAACGTTAATCTAACCCAACCTAACGTAGTGTAAATTTAACCGAACCCAACCTAGTTAATCTAATCTAACGCTAATTGACGGATTTCCGCCGAGTCCATTATTTTATTATGGGAATTTTATCATGTATATGGTTGGTGGCTGGTAGCGACCCAGTGGTGACCTGGGTGGTGGGCTGGGTAGGGCTGAGGTAACCTGTCACCCACGACCACACCCCTCACCACCAGGCAACTAACTCTTGGTGCTTGATAACTACACATTATCTTAGGGATCATACAGTGAGTTAGTGTGTGTGTGTGTGTGTGTGTGTGTGTGTATGTTTAGGCCTCAAATCAGTATCATAAATCTTGAGCCCGCAGCCACACACTGGAAACATTCTCACACACACACATTTATGTCACTTATGTTACTTGTATATTATTTGTAATTGTAACCCATTCCCCCAACATAACTGTATATTTTTTCTGCTGCCAAGCTCTTCAAAAACCGTTAATTATTAATATTACACACACACACACACACACACACACAACACACAGGCACGAATATACAGTGAAAATGTCCTATTAAAATGTGTATTGTGTTCAGGAGCCACAAACCATAAACTGGAGTCAACTGCAGTTCACACAAGATCCTGTTTAACTCACTTTACACGCAATGAACGCACGCACACACACACACACACACACACACACACACACACACACACACACACACAACAACAACACTTGTGCACATATACAGACACATCTGTGCACAGCCACATCCCTGCTCTGCCTCTCACTTATACTTCCACGACCATCATCACACACACACACACACACACACACACACACACACACAGACAGACACAGGAAGGTACAAAGGAGACGGAGACACAGCCAAAAGACACACTCAGACAGGCGTGAGGTGAAGCTAGACGTAGAGGAAGGTGAGGGACCACCATGCATGAAGGTGAGGACACATACAGAGAGGGAGGAGGGAGGTGAGAAAGCTACCACCCAGATGGTCGACTGTGACCTCATAAGCGGTTTTGTTACGCCCTGGCTTGTGTGTGTGTGTGTGTGTGTGTGTGTGTGTGTGTGTGTGTGTCAAGTGAAGCTCTTTTTTATGATTCCGACAGTTAGGTATATTCTATTGCCTGCCACACACACACACCTGTAGGGAAGTAACCATTATAAAGGTGACCTCCTCCAGTGCTTTACCTGTCGGGGGAGGAGCTCAGTCACCCTTGGTCACAGTAAAGCGGTATAGGAGGAACACGCCCTCTCTACCCTTAAACCCTGACGAGTGACAAGAAAATATGTCCGTAAACTCTGTTTTCTGCTGTGGGCTAAACTCAACACCTCTCACACAAACACTCTCTCACACACAAACACTCCTCTCACACACACATCCCCCACACACAAACACCTCTCACACACAAACATTCTCACACAAACACCTCTCACACACAAACACCCTCTCACACACAAACACCTCTCATCACAAGGACTCTTCACACACAAACACCACCTTCTACACACACACACACACGCTCTCTCTCTCCCTGGTCCCCCCCCTCAGCTCCTCTTTCAGACACGGCGCCTGGATCCTGTACGAGGGTCCCATGGTATTATCCTGGCTGGCCCTCACCAATCCCTTCCCACTTCCTCTCTCCTCACACCCTTCCTCCACTCTACAACCCCTCCCCCTCTTCAACTCCCTCTCCCCTCAACTTCAACCAACCCGCTCTCTCCTCAACCTCCTTCTTCCCTCCTCCCCACCTTGCCACTACCGGTTTGTGGCCGTGTTGACTGTCGCGCCACTTGCCTTTTCGAATTTAAACATGAGGTCATTGCGGAGGTGTTGTGCAACTTTACGGAGTTGTCTCACAGTCGGTGGTGTACGTGGTGTTGCATCCTGAGTGTTTAGAACTGGTGATTACCAGAAATATATATAGTGAAAACACGTCACCAGGAGATCAGTAGAGATCTTGACAAGTTTCAAATGGTTTCTGATGAGCTGGCTGCTGTAGTCACTCAACACAAGAAGCATCAGAGCCCGGTCGACCAGTTGTCACCCAGGAAGCCGAGTCACTGAACCAGGTAGGATCCCTGAATCACCGGCAGGTAATCACCAGGTGAGAGTAGTGACTGCAGGCGTGAAATCCTTAGCTCAAGTGTTTCCTGGAGAGTAAGTCAAGGCAGTGGTTGGACCTGTGGCTGTGGGTCTCTGGTAGTATCTTGCGTCTGGCAGCGTCTGGCTTCCTGTGTTAATAAAAACGTAGATCTGGCAACGTTGCGGTGTGTGTATGTTTGTGTGGGGGAGGGGGGGGGAGGGGGGCATTTCATGGTGAGGCGCCACCGTGTTTCAGGCGCCTGATGTCTACTAGTCTGGCAGCGTCCTGGTCACAATGTTTTTATAACTTGCAGTGTCACGAAACAGATTTTCAAAGATTCTACATTGTTCTCCTCCAACAGGATCAGGGCGCTAGATTATCCCACACATATTTTAACACATTGGAAGCAGCCGCCATCACTGAGACGTACTGTACAGTCTCCTTCACTGGTGAATCAGGTTTTTTGCAGTGTGCAGCCCTGTGTTTGTTAACATTCGACAGAAGGAAACTCACAAGTAAATATATTATGAATCAAATTAAAACAATATTAAAACAAATATTCCATGTAATGACCAGAATGTTATATGACGAGCCCCTGTAAACGCACTCAGAAGGACTGTACATTGTTAGACAGTCAAGAGGTAATCTATATCTCACCAAACCTGTAAAAACACAACTGCTTTCCCTGAATCAGTCGTACGTGTCCGAGTGAGCGTCATGGTCTCTGCTCGAGCGAGTAATGATATGTTGCGTGGTGTAACCGTTCATGGAGCACATGTTACGGAGTCTGTACTGCTCGTCACCAGCCCTATGCATACAACACCTGTACTGTCCTGTGTGTGTGTGTGTGTGTGTGTGTGTGTGCGTGAATATATCTTGCCAACCATTAATGACCCACCCATTATCTCTATCACCAATCACGCCGCCCTTCACCCTATAGTGACCTCCACCTGTACCGCCCCAGTGACCACACCCCAGCCTGCCTCAGTGACCCACACCTGTACTGCACCAGTGACTCACAATCCTCACCGCCCCACGCCCTATAGTGACCACATCCTTAATGCCCCACACCTATAGTGGCACACCTGTACGCCCACACCTGTACTGCCCCACGCCCTATACCGCCCACACCCTGTACCTGCCCCACACCCCTGTACCGCCCCACACCCTGTACTGCCCTCATCACGCCCCACACCCGACTGCCCCACACCCCTGTACTGCCCCACACCCTGTACTGCCCCACACCCTGTACCGCCCTCACGCCCCACTGCCCCACACCCTGTACCGCCCCACACCCTGTAACGTCCCCACACCCTGTACGCCCCCCACACCCTGTACCGCCCCACACCCTGTACCGCCCACGCCTGTACTGCCCCACACCCCTGTACCGCCCCACACCCCTGTACTGCCCCACACCTGTACCGCCCCACACCCCTGTACTGCCCACTACTGTACTGCCCCACGCCCTATACCGCCCCACACCCCTGCAACACTGCCCCACACCCTGTACCACCCCACACCCACACTGTACTGCCCACGCCCTATACTGCCCCACACCCTGTACTGCCCCACACCCTGTACTGCCCCACACCCTGTACTGCCACACCCTGTAAAATTACGTATGTCTTTGCCTCTACTAACACTTCACCACGACACACATGTTTACATTCAGTGGATCCCTCACTCACCGAAAGACAACTTTTTCCGCATTACAACTTTCTATTTAAGTGATGAAGCTAAACAGATTATAAAAGATGAGTCACCTGAACATAGTAATTTAAACTTATTTCACCTGATGATTAATTAAAAGCACACCCCAATGCTATACAGGGATGCGTTAGGCGTAGGGGCTTTGGGAGTGTTTAATTATATGAGGAAAGAAGCCAAAGTTTAATTTCAGGAGATCACAATGCCACATTCTGGAGGAGTACAATGTTTGTAACACACAAGAGCACAGGAGAGGACTACGGTTAATGAGGCAACAGTCGGTGACGGCAGGCTGGGGGCAAGAGCACAGGAGAGGACTACTTTGCTAATGGAGAAACAGCTGTGGTGGATGCAGGCTGGGGCAAGAGCACAGGAGGAGGACTACTTTGCTAATGTGGAGAAGAAATGCAGACGGCAGGTTTGGGCAAGAGGCAGGAGAGACTACTTTTGCTAATGTGGAGAACAGCCGGGTGACGGCAGGTCGGGGCAAGAGCACAGAGAGGACCACTTTTTGGTTAATGAGAATTAGTCGTGGTGACGGGCAGGTCGGGGCAAGAGCACAGGAGAGACTACTTTGGTTAATGTGGAGAAACAGTCGTGGTGACAGCAGGTCGGGGCAAGAGCACAGGAGAGGACTACTTTGGTTAATGTGGGAGAATCAGACGGTGATTTGGCAGGTCAGTAAGAGCACAGGAGAGGACTACTTTGGCTAATGTGGGAGAAATAGTCAGGCATTGGCAGGTCGGGGCAAGAGCACAGTGAGAGACTACTTTGGTTAATGAGAACAGATGTGGTGACGGCAGGTCGGGGGCAAGAGCACAGGAGAGGGGACTACTTTGTTACTGTAGAGAACAGTCGTGGTGACGGGCAGGTCGGGGCAAGAGCACAGAGGGATTCTCACTTGGTTAATGTATAACAGACGTGGTGACGGCAGGTCAGCAAGAGCACAGGAGATGACCATTTGGCTAATGTGGGAGAACAGACGTGGTGACGGCAGGTCGGAAGGGAGCACAGGAGAGGACTACTTTGGCTAATGTAGACAGACACAGACGGCAGGTCGGGGGCAAGAGCACAGGAGAGGACCACTGGTTAATGGAGAACAGACGTGGTGACGGGCAGGTCAGGGCAAGAGCACAGGAGAGGACTACTTGGTTAATGTGGGAGAACAGACGTGGTGACGGCAGGTCAGCAAGAGCACAGGAGAGGACCACTTTGGGTTAATGAAAGAGAACAGACGTGGTGGACGGCAGGGCAAGAGCACAGAGGACTACTTTGTTAATGTGGAGTAAACAGACGTGGTGACGGCAGGTCGGGAAAAGGAGCATGTGAGAGTACTACCACCGATGAGAACAGACGGGGTGGACGGCAGGTCGTGGGTAAGAGCACAGAGAGGACTACTTTTGGTTAATGTAGAGAACAGACGTGGTGATTGCAGGTCAGGCAAGAGCACAGGAGAGGACTACTTGTTAATGTGGAGAACAGGACGTGGTGACGGCAGGTCGGGGCAAGAGCACAGGGGAGAGGACCACTTTGGCTAATGTGGAGAACTGAGACGGGTGACGGCAGGTCGGGGCAAGAGCAAGGTGAGAGGACTACTTTGAGCTACTGGAGGAGCAGACGTAGGACGGCAGGTCGGGGCAAGAGCACAGGAGAGTAGAATGGCATTGGTTAGCTGGAGAAACAGACGGGGACGGCAGGTCGGGGGTGCAGCAAGAGCACAGGAGAGGACTACTTTTGGTTACCGAACAGACGTGGTGACGGCAGGTCGGGGCAAGAGCACAGGAGAGGACTACTTCTTTGGTTAATGTGACAGACGTGGTGGACGGCAGGTCGGGGTAAGTATATGCAGACTACTTTGCTAATGTGGGAGAACAGACGTGGTGACGGCAGGTCGGGGCAAGAGCACAGAGAGGACTACTTTGGTTAATGTAGAGAACAGACGTGGTGACGGCAGGTCGGGGCAAGAGCACAGGAGAGGACTACTTTGGTTAATGTGGGAACAGACGTGGTGACGGCAGGTCGGGGCAGAGCACAGGAGAGGACTACGGTTACCGGGAGAACAGGATGGTGACGGCAGGTCGGGGCAAGAGCACAGGAGAGGACTACTTTGGTTAATGAGAGAACAGACATGGTGACGGCAGGTCGGGGGCAAGATAATATGAGAGGACCACGGTTAATGGGAGTACCAGACGTGGTGACGGGCAGGTCGGGGCAAGAGCACAGGAGAGAGGACTACTTTAAGCTTGGGCCGGGAGAACAGACGGGCACGGCAGGTCAAAGGGGAGCACAGAGGTGGACTACCGGCTTAATGTAGAGAACAGACGTGGTGGACGGGCGTCAAAAGAGCACAGGAGAGGACTACTTTGGTTAATGGGAGAACAGACGTGGTGACGGCAGGTCGGGGCAAGAGCACAGGAGAGGACTACTTGGCGATGGGAGAACAGACGTGGTGACGGCAGGCTGGGGCAAGAGCACAGAGAGGACTACTTTTGGTTAATGTAGAAATAGACGTGGTGACGCAGGCTGGGCAGCAAGAGCACAGGAGGACTACTTTGGTTAATGTGAGAACAGACGTGGTGACGGCAGGTCGGGGCAAGAGCACAGAGAGGACTACTTTGGTTAATGTAGAGAACAGACGTGGTGACGGCGCACGGGCAAGAGCACAGGAGAGACTACTTTGAAGTGGAGAACAGGTGGTGACGGCAGGTCGGGCAAGAGCACAGGAGAGGACTACTTGGTTAATGTGGAGAACAGACGTGGTGACGGCAGGTCAGGCAAGAGCACAGGAGAGACTACTTTGGTTAATGTAGAGAACAGACGTGATGGGCAGGTCGGGGCAAGACACAGAGAAGGACTACTTAATTGGGAGAACAGATGGCACAGGTCGCAAAGCACAGAGAGGACTCATTGGAATGGGGACAGACGTGGTGACGGCAGGTCGGGGCAAGAGCACAGGAGATGACTACTTTGGTTAATGTGGAGAACAGACGTGCAGTGACGGCAGGTCGGGGCAAGAGCACAGGAGAGGACTACTTTGTTAGTAAGGAGAACAGACGTGGTGACGGCAGGTCGGGGCAAGACACAGGAGAGGACTACTTGGTTAATGTGAAGAACAGACGTGTGACGGCAGGTCGGGGGCAAGAGCACAGGAGAGGACTACGGTTAATGTGGGAACAGTCGTGGTGACGGCAGGTCGGGGCAAGAGCACAGGAGAGGACTACTTTGGTTAATGGAGAACAGCGTGGTGGAGGCAGGCTGGGGCAAGAGCACAGGAGAGGACTACTTTGGTTAATGTGGAGAACAGACGTGGTGACGGCAGGTCAGGGCAAGAGACAGGAGAGACTACTTTGCTAATGTGGAGAACAGCCGTGGTGACGGCAGGTCGGGGCAAGAGCACAGGAGAGGACTACTTTGGTTAATGAGAACAGTCGTGGTGACGGCAGGTCGGGGCAAGAGCACAGGAGAGACTACTTGGTTAATGTGGAGAACAGTCGTGGTGACGGCAGGTCGGGGCAAGAGCACAGGAGAGGACTACTTTGGTTAATGTGGAGAACAGACGGTGACGGCAGGTCAGCAAGAGCACAGAGAGGACTACTTTGGTTAATGTGGAGAAATAGTCAGGCAACGGCAGGTCGGGGCAAGAGCACAGAGAGAGACTACTTTGGTTAATGAGAACAGACGTGGTGACGGCAGGTCGGGGCAAGAGCACAGGAGAGGACTACTTTGGTTAATGTAGAGAACAGTCGTGGTGACGGCAGGTCGGGGCAAGAGCACAGAGGGACTACTTGGTTAATGTAGAACAGACGTGGTGACGGCAGGTCAGCAAGAGCACAGGAGAGGACTATTTGGTTAATGTGGAGAACAGACGTGGTGACGGCAGGTCGGAAGAGCACAGGAGAGGACTACTTTGGTTAATGTAGACAGAACAGACGGCAGGTCGGGGCAAGAGCACAGGAGAGGACTACTGGTTAATGGAGAACAGACGTGGTGACGGCAGGTCAGGGCAAGAGCA